ACCATATAAGTGTGCAGATTGTGGGAAACATTTTGCTCGGAATTCTGCCATGGTGAAACATCAGAAAACACATACAGAAGAGAAACAATATAAATGTTGTGATTGTGGGAAAGGTTTCAGTCATAATTCCTACCTGGTGAAACACCAGAAGACTCACACAAGAGAGAAACCATATAAGTGTGCAGATTGTGAGGAAAGCTTCCATCGGCATTCTCATCTGGTGGTACACCAGAGAATTCATACAGGGGACAAACTGTATCAATGTCCGGATTGTGGTAAAAGTTTCACTCGGAATTCTAACCTGAGGATGCACCAGTTGACTCACACAGGAGAAAAATTATATGAGTGTCTGTTTTGTGGGAAAGGTTTCTTTCAGAATTCCAGCTTGGTGATTCACCAGAGGACTCACACAGGAGAGAAACCATATGAGTGTCCTGATTGTGGGAAAACTTTCACGCAGACTTCTCACCTGGTGAGACACCAGAAAACTCACACGGGAGAAAAACCCTATGAGTGCCTGGATTGTGGGGAAAGATTCAGTTGGAATTTGCATCTTGTGATACACCAGAAAACTCACATAGGAGAGAAATTGTATGAGTGTCCAGAGTGTGGGAAAAATTTCAGTTGCAAATCTGATCTGTTAAAACACCAGAAAACTCACAGAGGAAAGAGAGTATATGAGTGTATAGATTGTGGGAAAAGTTTCACTCAGAATTCCAAGCTGACAATACACCAGAAAACTCATTCCGGAGCCAAACCGTATAAATGTCTGGATTGTGAAAAACGTTTCAGTCAGAATTCCTACCTGGTGAAACACCAGAGGACTCACACAGGAGAAAAACCATATGAGTGTCTTGAATGTGGGAAAAGTTTCCGTTGGAATTCCAATTTGGTGATACACTGGAGGACTCACACAGGAGAGAAACCGTATGAGTGTCCAGATTGTGGAAAAGATTTCAGTAGTAAGCCCAGCCTTATAAATCATGTAAGGTTACACATAGGAGAATAACTATTTATATACCCAGACAGTGTTTTGCTCAAGGTTCCTCCCTTATCACACAGGAAATTGCATTGAGGCAAAATTTGACTCTTGAATTTAGTTTCTTGTCTCTTATGTAAGTGCCCCTGAGCAATTAATCATGTAATTTTTTGCACGATTCTTTTAGTGAAACATGTCTTAGTATCAAACATCAGGGAGGAATAGAATAACAACATTGGAATAGACCTTGTAATCCAAACCAAGCAGGGGACCCTATATTTTCAAAGGCTCCATAAGGGAGTACTCACAACTTCAGAAGGCGAGCCTGTTCCTATGGTAGATTATTCTGTCAGAAAATGTCTCCTTATTTCTAGTTTGAATCTCTCCATCAGTTTCCGCCCATTGTTCCTTGTCTGGCGTTCGGGTGCTTTGCAAAATAGCTTGTCCCCCTCCTCTCTGTGGCAGCCCCTCAGATATCGGAAGACTGCTAATCATGTCACAACTGATTCTTGTCTTCCCTAGACTAGCCATGCCCAGTTTCTCTAATTGTTCCTCATATATTTTAGTCTGCAAGTCTCTAATCTGAGCTTCCTTTCTCTGTCCCACCGCAGTCGTTCCCTTTCACGGAGTCGAGGGGAACTGCCTTGCTGGGCCAGAGAAAGTGAGCTTGGACCTCTATTAGGTATGTTTGCCACCTTGAGTTGTTTCTACGTATAATAAAGGGGTATATAAATATGTTTGTATGCATTTTTACTTAATTTGAAAATCCATTTGGCAGCTCAAGTCATGGTTATTCCACACGGTTTACAGCAATAAAGCCTTAATACAGAAACCAATAAACCCCATGGCCAAATGCAAAGCCTCCACATTTAAAATGTATTTGCTCTGTAAATAGAAGGCTCTTCAAGCAAAGTGGATGGGACTTGGATGGTCTGGAAATTCCAAAAAGGTGATTCTTGATTTTGTTTTAATTTACAAGTTAACCAGGCTTCCTGGCCTTACTAATTATGTTCATTTCTTGTGCCATTCTTCCTCAAAGCTGATAATCTTTGTCCTTACAAGGAGTTAAATTAGAGAATTTAATCACAGGATTAGTAAGGATATAAATTTGATAATTAAAGAAACACATAGACCTTCCGTGCCTTGTAGATGGGCTGCTTCAGTGAGGCCATTTTTTTGGATTAATCTGATTTATTTAAAATATTTATGTAGCCATCCATGTTATAACAAATTCGGGCCAGCTTCCACTCAATAATTAACTTAAAAACCATATTAAAACTAAATGCATAAAAACAAACACCTGGTTCCAAATCGAGTTTCGGATGGGCAGGCACCTTTTCTTATCCCAGTGCTTAGTGGAAAAGCTACATCTTCCATGCTTTACGGAAGACCAGGAGGATAAAGGCCTGCCAAACTCCAGGGGGAAGAGTGTCTCATAGGGCAGGAGCTGCAACCGAAAAAACTTCCTACCTCCTATCCGATAGCAATATTTAAAGGGCCAGTGTGCCTGCCCTCTCTGATCTAGCAGAAGATATGGACGCAATAATAATAAAGGTAGGGCAATGATGACAGGTGCCCTGGTGGTTCAGTGGTTAGAATGCAGTATTACCGGCTGACTCTGCCCACAGCCTGCAGTCTGATCCTGACGGGGGCTCGAGATTGACTCAGCCTTCCCTCTTTCTGAGATCAGTAAAACGAGAACACAAGATTGTTGGGGGCAATATGCTGATTATGTAAACCACAGATGTCAAACTCAATTCCATTGAGGACTGTTATCAGCATTATGGTTGCCTTCAAAGGGCCAGTTGCTTGTAAGATTATGACGACTCACAGTGGCCAGGTGGGCATGGCTGGGGAGAAGTGGCTGGGTGGTCACAGCTGGGTTATAGGCACTAGGTAGGTTTGGCCAAGTCGTTGTTGGCCTGCTCGACAACACTCACTGGGCGCAGTTGACTCCAGACAGCAGGGTCAGGATTGAGTAGGTTGCACCAGCTAACTAAAGGTGGGGGGGAATTTAGTGTCTCCCCCTTTTCTGCCTCCCTATCTTCCCCTCTGCCCGTTCTGTATCTCCCTCTCTCCTTTCTGTGCGTGTCTCTCCCTCTATCTCTGCATATCTCTCCCTATCTTCCCCTCTCTATATCTCTCCCCTGTGTGTGTGTCTCACTTTCTGTATCTCTCCCTATCTCCCCGTCTCTCTCTCCTCCCCCCTCTGTATCTCTGTTTCTCCCTCCCTCTGTATCTCTCCCTATCTTCCCCTTTCCCCCCTCTCTCTGTATGTCTCTCTCTGTTTCTCTCCCCCTCTGTCTCTCTCTATGTCTCTCTCTGTGTGTGTATATATATAACTTTAAAAGCACAACTATAATGACGTGGGAAAATACCCGAACAAAGCTGAATGCCATACATGTAAGTACCCACGAAAACGTAAGAAATATATATATTCTTAATTTTTCGCGGGTACTTACATGTATGGTATTCAGCTTTGTTCGAGTATTTTCCCACGTCATTGTAGTTGTGCTTTTAAAGTTGTAGCAAAGTTTCGGCAGAATCTCATCTGCCATCATCTGGCTTCTGTATTGTGTTCGTCTGTGAGTCAGACTTTTACAGTTGTTTCAGTTTTTTTCAGAAACAACTGTCTGACTCACAGGCGAACACAATACATGTATGTATGTATGTCTCTTTTTCTTTTGAGTAGTTCGGAGAACTTGCAAATATCACCTCTGACTGAAGATTATACAGTATCCTTCCTCTGTCACACCCTCAAAGCCATGCCCACGGAACCGGAAGTAAAACAATTTGAATGCCACCACTGGTGGGATTCCCCCACTCTCCACCCATGTGGTCCTGTTCACCAATAAACCAACTTTCCAAATAGCCTCCATGTTTCTCCATGTCTTTCTCCCCACTTGGAACTGTAGCAGATGGATTTTTCTTCCAACACTAAACAGGGATGGGGCACCAATAAGTAATACTGTGCTTGTTAGCTAAGCATTTAAAGTAAAAGAAAATAAAATCCCAGCAGAGAAAAGGGGTCAAGCTTCAGTCTTACAGCTTCAGTTAAGTGGCAGAGGCACATTTTGAGGAGTTATCCCACACAGGCACACCCCAAGAGAAAAAACTGGAACTAAGGGAATTCTCCCTATTTGCACATCATTTCCAGCCACCAAGGGAGCTTTCCTGTGGTCTAGTTGCCACTTCTTGTAAAAGAAGCTTCGGGCTCAGCTCCAGGGACAAGGAGTGTCCTCTTGGGGGAACCTGAAAGAAAAAGTTTTGGGATGGATCCTCAAGAGAGAAAAGCTACCGATGAGCTCGATGGGAGTCAAATAGGACTTGATGGCACTTAAGGAAGCCCTGAATCCGTGAGAACGCTTTAAGGGTAGAGAACGAGCGTGTTCTTCCCCCTTATGTCGCTAGATGGCGATCTAACAAGAGAAGCAACACCGGCGCCTAGCAAGCAGGTATTGTACAGCTGCAACTAGCTATTCACGGGAAGGGAGAGAGGGTGAGCTAGAACGAGTTGTGAAACCATAGATTATTTGATTGCTAGAGAGGTTGTGGAGGCGAAGGAAGAGTAGAGGAATTTCCTCTTCCGGCACAGCCACGGGAGGATAATGGCGTCGGCGGAGCTTCTTGTGCTGCTTGGAGGGTCGAAGCATCTCCTGGGGAGGTGAGTGGAGGGCAGCTCGGAGGAGAAGCCGGGATCAAGTCGGGCCCTTTGGGTTCCTCCACGGCCGGGAAGCAGCGAAGTGACAAGGCTGAAGTATGCGGGCTGCTGCTGCAATATTCTTTCCCTCCCGAAATGTTTTTTTATCCTTTTGCTAAATGATTTAAATCTGCTGCCTGTGATTTTCTGTTGGCAAATTTGGAACCTTTGAAGAAATCTTTACATACTTTTCATATTTCTTGACCACCCAATCTCCCTCACCCTTCACGAAACACTTGATTCCTTGTGATTTTATTGACATGTTGTTTTCCTGCCAAGTGAGTTTTCTGAGGAAAATGGATGTTTTAAATTTTGCAGTAGGATTTGGTCACCGTTTCATCTGTTAGCGTCCTCAGATTTCTGAACTTGGATGAAAAATAGGAGCAAAAGCACTTCTGGGACATTTTGCACATGAAAATACACATAGATTATTTACATACATAAAGGTGTAGGTGTGGATTTCTGTGTGCCTGGGTATGAGTGCATGAGTGATTACCCTGTAATGATATATCCTGCTTCAGCAGGGGGCTGGACTAGGAGATCTCTTAGGTCCTTTCCAACTCTATTCTGATTGATTGATTTGATTGATATCTTGATTAATATATTGATTGATTGATTGATTGATTGAAAAAGAATCTTTTGATCAAGTCAATGTTTGAATTTGGATCTTGCTAATCTATATGCCAAATGAACCATAATATTAGATGTTAAACTAGAATTTTGGTGTTTGTTTTTTCCTGCTAATGTATGGGTTTTTTCCCCCTGCTTTCACAGGTCCTGCAGCCACTTTTTAAACAATCATGAAACTAACCCATTAATGTGACTCTTACAAACAAAGAGGATGCCAAGAAGCACATGCTGGAGAACAGAGAATGAGAAGCAGTATTAAAATCCAAAATGAACTATCAGTCAAAATCTTTTTTCAATACCACTTGAAAGTGTAAAAAGTCTTCTTCCTCAGAAAATGAGAGATAAGGGACAGAATAAAAAGAACAAAGTTTTGAGTTGGGAAAAATAGACTATATGGAACTCAGGAAGACATTACATGAGCAGTCTAGGAGGAAAATGTCCAAATAAAAAGTGGGAAACACCTGAAAGTCAGTGGGAAGAAAAAGGTGCAGATGGCCAAAATAGGCAGCTATTAATGAAAGCCTTTGATGAAGGAAAGAGTGGCTTGAATCAAAAAACCTTAACGTAAGAGATCAGAAATATTTCTGGCCTTTTTGAGAATCCAAGAATATCAGTGTTGGAAAAACCCCAGGGATTGCCTATTGTGAGAAAAATACAGATTGCAAATCACATCTGATTATGTGCAACATGACCCACCCAGTGAAAAGCCATGCAAATGTTTAGAGTGCAGTAAAAACTTTACTTGGAAAACCTTCCTCATAATTCATGGAAGGACCCATACAGAAGAGAAACTCTACTAGTGCTCCCCATCTGACAAAAGATTAAGCATGAACACCAATGTAGTGAGACACAATAGGATTCACACTGGGGAGAAACTTTTTGAATGTCCTGATTGTGGGAAAAGCTTCTCTCAGAATTCTGACCTGCTGATACATCAGAGGACTCACATGGGAGAGAAACGATATGAATGTCTGGATTGTGGGAAAAATTTCAAGGAGAATTTCAAGCTCATGATACATCGGAGGATTCACACAGGAGAAAAACCGTATGAGTGCCCAGATTGTGGGAAAGGTTTCAATTGGAATTCCGAGTTGGAAGTACACCAGAGGACTCACACTGGAGAGAAACCTTATGAATGTCCTGATTGTGGGAAAGGTTTCTCTCGGAAATCTAACCTGGTGAAACATCAGAAAACACATACAGAAGAGAAACCATTTAAATGTAGTGATTGTGGGAAAAGTTTCAGTCATAATTCATACCTGGTGATACATCAGAGGACCCACACGGGAGAGAAACCATATACATGTGTAGATTGTGGGAAACATTTCACTCGGAATTCTGATATGGTAAAACATCAGAAGACACATACAGAGGAGAAACCGTATAAATGTGATTGTGGGAAAAGTTTCAGTCAGAATTCCTACCTGGTGAAACACCAGAGGACTCACACGGGAGAGAAACCATATGAGTGTCTATATTGTGACAAGCGTTTCACTCGGAATTCTGACAGGGTGATACACCAGAGGACTCACACAAGAGAGAAGCCATATAAGTGTGCTGATTGTGGGAAATATTTTGCTCGGAATTCTGACATGGTGAAACATCAGAAGACACATACAGAAGAGAAACCATATAAATGTTGTGATTGTGGGAAAAGTTTTAGTCAGAATTCCTACCTGGTGAAACACCAGAGGATTCACATGGGAGAGAAACCATATAAGTGTGCAGATTGTGAGGAAAGCTTCCATCGGAATTCTCATCTGGTGGTACACCAGAGAATTCACACAGGGGACAAACTGTATCAATGTCCGGATTGTGGTAAAAGTTTCACTCGGAATTCTAACCTGGTGATACACCAGTTGACTCACACAGGAGAAAAATTATATGAGTGTCTGTTTTGTGGGAAAGGTTTCTTTAGGAATTCCAACTTGGTGATTCACCAGAGGACTCACACGGGAGAGAAACCATATGAGTGTCCTGATTGTGGGAAAACTTTCACTCAGACTTCTCACCTGGTGAGGCACCAGAAAACTCACACGGGAGAAAAACCCTATGAGTGCCTGGATTGTGGGAAAAGATTCAGTTGGAATTTCCACTTGGTGATACACCAGAAGACTCACACAGGAAAGCAATCTAATGAGTGTCCAGAGTGTGGGGAAAATTTCAGTTGCAAGTCTGAACTGGTAAGACACCAAAAAACTCACAGAGAAAAGAGACTGTATGAGTGTCTGGATTGTGGGAAAAGTTTCACTCAGAATTCCAAGCTGGTGATACACCAGAGGAGTCACACAGGAGAAAAACCATATGAGTGTCTCGAGTGTGGGAAATGCTTCTGTCGGAATTATGACTTGGTGATACATCGAAGGACTCACACAGGAGAGAAACCATATGAGTGTCCAGATTGTGGGAAAGATTTCAGTACTAGGACTAGCCTTCTAAATCATGTAAGGTTACACATAGGAGAGTAACCATTGATGTACCCAGATTGTGGACAGTGTTTTGCTCAGGGTTCCTCATCACACAAGAAACTCAATTTGAGGCAAAATTCGATGTGTGTAGAGGACTCTTGAATTTCGTTTCTTGTCTCTTACGTAAGCGCACGTTGTAGATGGGCTGCTTCAGTAGGGCCATTTTTTTTTATTCATCTGTTTTTCCTCTGGTCTATTTAAAATATTTATGTAGCCATCCAAGTTATAACAATCTCAGACCAGCTCCCAATCAATAATTAGCTTTAAAACCATATTAAAACTAAATGCATATAAACAAACACCTGGTTCCAAATCGAGTATCTGATGGGCAGGCACCTTTTCTTATCCCAGTGCTTAGTGGAAAAGCTACATCTTCCATGCTTTACGGAAGACCAGGAGGATAAAGGCCTGCCAAACTCCAGGGGGAAGAGTGTCTCATAGGGCAGGAGCTGCAACCGAAAAAACTTCCTACCTCCTATCCAATAGCAATATTTAAGGGGCCAGTGTGCCTACCCTATCTGATCTAGCAGAACATATGGACGCAATAATAATAAAGGTAGGGCAATAATGACAGGTGCCCTGGTGGTTCAGGGGTTAGAATGCAGTATTACCGGCTGACTCTGCCCACAGCCTGCAATCCGATCCTGACGGGGGCTCGAGATTGACTCAGCCTTCCATCTTTCTGAGATCAGTAAAACGAGAACACAAGATTGTTGGGGGCAATATGCTGATTTACGTAAACCACAGATGTCAAACTCAATTCCATTGAGGACTGTATCAGCATTATGGTTGCCTTCAAAGGGCCAGTGTAAGTGCATGTAAGACTATGATGACTCACAGTGGCCAGGTGGGCATGGCTGGGGAGTGGCTGGGTGGTCATAGCTGAGTTATAGGCACTAGGTAGGCGTGGCCAGTTCCGTGTAGCCTGCTCGACAACGCTCACTGGGCACAACTGACTCCGGACAGCAGGGTCAGGATTGAGTAAGTTGCATCGGCTAATTCAAAATGGGGACAATTTGGTGTCCCACAAGTTCCCCAAACTGCTGGCAGCCAAGCGTGCATGCACAAACACACCCCTTTCTACATATGGGGAGTTTTTATCCACAGAGGAAGGAGAAGGCCTTCTTCCCCAAGCCCAGGCATGATTGGCAGTCTGCAAGCTCGGATGTGGATAATAGGCTCCATATTTGGAGTGTGTGTGTGTGTGTGTGTGAGCACAGCATTCCAAAAGAGATGTTCTTTTCCCAATCCCAGACATCGTTGGTGTTTCCTGTCCTGTGCCCCCCCTCCCAGCAAAGCAGGCGGCAGAGGACAACATTGCTGCGTGTGGAAGCGCAGAGTTGAAAATTTGCAGGAAGCGGTTTCCTCCGAGACCAACTTCTGCCTTGACAGATCTCTGGAGAGGAAGAGGAGGAGGCGGGGTAGCAGCTCTCCCTGGCCCCCGCATGAGGGAAGCTGGCCCTTCTGGAAAGGGAATCCCCATTTCCAATCGTGTAGTAAGGGTGCTGGCTTGTTAGGGCAGCCTTCACTCATGCAGCTCCCCCCCTGCCATCCCATCCTCCTTTCCAGAGATCTGTCAAGGGAGAAGTTGGGACTCTGAGGAAACTGGCTTCCTGCAAACTTTCTCTTCTGCGCTTCCGCGTGCAGCTGTGTTGTCCTCCGCTTCTTGTGGGGGGGCCAGGCCAGACTGGGAGGGGAGAATCTGGAGGTCTCCAGTGGAGGAAGGTGAAACCAGGGTGAGCACCAAAGCCTTGTCCCCCGTCCCCCGCCCCAGAGGAGCCTCACCGTCCCTCTCAGGCCATGCAGAGGACTCCCCGATGCCAGCGTGGACTGCCGGTATCTCTGGGCAGCATGGCAATCACCCAGTCTGGCCCAATAGCTCCTGGGGTCTCGGGACACCTCAGCCGAACCCAGCCCTGCTTCCCCAAAGGGGAAGCGTCCGGCCAGGCTTACTTCCTCAAGACCGCAGCTGCTGTGCTCACTGTCCTTGGCCAGGTTGCTCATTGTGGGTACGGGAGGGCAAAGCGCATGAGTCAAGAGGAAGATCCACACCCTCTCCATGGGAGGAGTGAAGCATCCTCAGCGATACGATGGGAGACCACCAGGACAGGACAGGAGGAGAGGGCAAGGGGATGGCAAGAAGGCAGCAGGGCTGGCAGCCAAGTGCTAAGGCAGGACTTCCCTCAGATCCTTCCTCTCATTTCCACTTTCCTCCATCCCTCCTTCCCCCTCTTTCTTTCCCTGCCTCCCTCCTTCTCATTCCCATCTCCTTCCTTCCTTCCCTCCTCCTCACTCCCATCTCCTTCCTTCCCTCCCTCCTTCCCTCCTTCTCATTCCCATCTCTTTCCTTCCCTCCCTCCTTCTCATTCCCATCTCCTTCCTTCCCCCTTTCCTTCCC